TTTTTACTTAGTATCCACCACTTGGGGTTACTGCTATTTTAGCTTTTGATTAGTCATCAGATTTTACTAAGTGTAATTTTTGAGCTCAAAAATTTAGTTTCCATAAGTGAGAAATTTCAGCTCCATATACCCTTTACTCCATACACCTTTCAAGAGGCACCTTGTTGTTAAGTAAGCTAGAGAAGTGACTCATGAACAGCATATCTGCTTTTGATTTTAAAAATGACATAAATTCTTGATTCTGAACAATACCATTCTCTTATCCTTTCAGTATTCCCACTACCAGTTGCCTTATGTTTCGTTCATCCCTTCTGTGCATTCAAACTAATTACATTTCTCATTTACTCATTTTGCTTGAGTGTTTAAATAGCTGAGCCTCTGCAATGTTTTGAGGACAGTACTTTTACAAGCTTTCATTATAGTTTGTTAAATAACACCATTTGGGCAGACTGGAGGAACTAATCCTTATAACAAGCCCAAGAAATCTGACTATAGAACCAAGGCTACCAGACAGGTGGGAGTTGGGGGAGAGCCAAATGAGGAGGGAGAACAATGGACTATGGTGGAGGGCGATGGGCGTCTTTGTGGTGGGGGTGGTGTGGTAACAACACCTGAAGGGGAAGACTCATATCTCTATCAGATACAGTGTTGTAAACCAATGTTACCTCAATCAAAACAACAACAACAACATATTTTTAAGTAGTGCAGCAGATGTTTTCTCTCACACAGTCATCCCTTATCAAGTAAAGGCCTCCAGTCCTGGCACTGCTAGTCAATTGTTTGCTTTCTGCAAGTAATCGCTTGGCTAGCGTTTTTTAATGTGGTAATTAAATTATCACAACATGCTTGGGTAAAGCTTAAATATAATAAAAAATAGTTCTTCCACAATAAATGAAGACAGGAAGAGGGAGATTCAGAAAGGTAAGAAAGCACACAGTGTTCTGTAGATGGTAGTCCAGATCTTCCCCTACAGTGTTAGCTTCTATTTATAAACACAGAATGTGTCAGGTGATTTTTTTTTCCATATGCAGATAATTCCAGCTCCTTCTCTTAACTTAGACACTATAAAAACAATATTTACCATTAACAAGTATACACAATAATACAAAATACTTTCTGATAATACTGCAAAATTCTTTTAGGAAACAATATAAATAAATCAGGTTGAAAATTGATCAAACTTTGAATCAGATTTTCAGAATAGGAAAACATTTCCTAGCAGCTGATAATTCTTTTTTTTCTTCGATGTCAGTGTTGTTTGTGACTTTTTTCATTTTATTTGTTGTTTTATTTCATTTTGCTTTATTGGTTTAAGATTATTTTGTTTTCTCTCTTGTCTTATTTTCCAGGAACATAACATAAAGTTCTCTAGACATCCCTAATGTGTTAGAGGTGATATTGAGAGTTGCTCCCCTGTCCATAAATTTGAATCCTTATAGACAACGTAGAAGTGAATCCAATAAAAGTAGTGAACTATCACCAATATGTTTTGAATAATGCAAAATAATCCAACCTCACCCAGCCACAGTAGTTTAAGGGGTAAAAAAAAAAAAAAAGAGCCCTGTGATTTCACATGAGTGAGCATATGGAATGTTTTTGTTTTATTTTTAGGGTTAAGGTTGGTGATTAAAGTAGAAGATGACAGATAGCAGTGCTCCACTTCTTTCTTAGCTTTAATTGCTTTTGCTGGTTTATGAACAGGGGATGATCTATTCCAATGGCCATTGTTTTCTTCTAATTTGTGTTCTCTCCATCTTCTCTGTTTTAGGTTTGTTTGCTTTACCTGTCTCTTCACTCTCTTCCCTCTGTATCCCCAGTCAGCAGACAGCTGAGTTGGATGATCATGCCAGGGGATTCATTACATTGCATTGTAAAATACAAACAGTTCAGTTGCTGGCTTGTGCTTCTCCAACTTCTCACCAAGCCCATGATAAGCCTGCATTTTTAAATTTTCCCTGTTCCATCAGCTATTCCACATTATTCATTTAGATCCAGCATTTTATGATATTCTGTGGAAAAACTAGCCTCTGGCATAACTGATACTTGCCACATCTTCTATGTGCCCCTGTGGCTCAATGTGGCTGTTAAACTGGCCATTCACATTTTCTTCAACAGCATTTTTCAAAATATCTTTGAGTCAGATTTGCCTGTGTTATTTGCTAAAAGTTCAGGTATCTATACCCTATCCCAGACCCATCTTAAACCCCATATGAATTGTCTATGACCTTAGTATTTTAAGGTTAAGATTAATGATTAGTCCAGATTTGCCCTTCACAAACCAAGGCAGCTTTTTAAAAATCTGTATGCATAGAACCCACCCCCACATTTCTGATTAAACAGTCTGTTGTGATTCTAACATGCAGTCTACGAAAATGAGCAGTAGACATCAGAAAGAAAGAATAGAGGTTGTGGGGACAGAGAAGGATTCAGTGAATGTCTTGAAAGTCCAGAGATTGATCCTCATGTATAAATTCAGAAACGAGATCTTTCTCTCAAGGGCATAGTCACATTAAGCAAGCTTATAGAGATTGAGCTATAAATAAGAATGCCAATTTTAGAATTATCTTTGTCACCAGGACTGGCATGACTAGGACATTCTAGTCATTTTTCCTCTCCATGAGGAAAAAAAAAACAAAAAGTATCATAATATTTTTCCTTGAATCTGGAGCTAGACTAAGGAGAATGGTTAAATGAAAGTCATAAAAAATGTGCTGAAGACTTACTATGTGTTAGGAACTCTCCTAAATATTTCACATGTGTTATTTAATCCATCTCAATAACCCTCTGCAGTAGAATTCTAAGCTCTATTTTCTAAAAGAGAAAAAGATAGGAAAAGAGAGAGGACACATAACTTAGTATGACACAGCTGCCCCCAGTGGTAGAGTTACCAAGTAATAGAGTTGAAATTCCTGGGCCCTGTGACTAAGTTGTTAGTGAAAGAAGAAACAGATTACTAGCTACCTTTAGAATTACCTGAGCCTTGCAGTCAGTTTGGGGACAGGATAACTTGTAGTGGTAGGAAAGAGAGGAATGTGCAAAGTACTGTTCATATAGAAAGGATGCTTTCAAGTCATGAGTGACTAAGATGAGCAGCCCCTGGTTGGATGACGAGTGATGCCTTGGCCAGACCTATGGTTTATTTAACCACTATGGTTGTGATTAAGTGAAAGATGTACTAAATTAAGTTCTGTTCTCAATTTCTTTTTTTTAAGTACCACATTAAATCACTATAAAATAGGTAGACATAAATATGTATAAGTAATAATAAGGCATAATAATAAGTAATAATATAGGCATAGTTATAAATAGTAGGTAAGTTTACCTATACCAGCCTTGTGTATGTCCTCAAGTCCAGAGGTCATCTTGTCCCAAAGAATTTGAATGAAGTTGGCTTGAACTTCTACCAGCTACAACTCAAGTAAATATCCTGTCATTTAGGAGAAATTTTGTGGAGCATGCAGTTCCTCTGTTGTAAGTTACTGCATCTGTTGAATGCCCAGTCACTGAGAGTTCTTATCCTATATGCGATCCTTGCATACCAGGTTTATCCTACTGTATGCCACTCGTAATTCTTTTACTCCCCAGAGTACCACCAGCTCCAGGATATGTTTATCAAATTTTATTGCAGCAGGTTTTGGGTAATGGAGCTGAGTTATGGTATAGAAATATTAGGTACACCTGAATTAAAACCCCCTAAACAATTTTTGACAAAAAATCATAGTTCATATTTTTTAATTTATCTGTCAGTATTTCACTAGGTAAGAAAAGTGGCCATTTCTCAATGTACAGATTCATCTCAAAGTGTCAGATACACACTAGTAAATCATTCCTGGCTTTCTGTTTTCCAGTTTGTATGCTAGGAACAGTCTGTCACATTCTTAGCTACCATTGAGATGTAACCCTTATTCTTAGACAAGAAAAGCAAATAAATGGCTCTCTCCTCTATGAAACAAATGTCTGCCAACCACAGTCCCTAAAAACCTCTCAACACATACAAATGTTTCATCCTCTGGTGAATCTAGCAGACAAATAGCACAGCTGCAGTGTATGGTCTTGAGACTAACAATTTGAGGTCCTTTAAGTCAGAGAATGCAACCCAAACTCCACAATGGTGGTGCGTTTACCATTCATAAAAGTTATTTATGAGTAAGATGGTATCTGCTGAGTGTGAGAAACTTTAGAATGGAAAGTAAATTCTTGAATGGACAACTCTCAAAACAAGACTAAACTATCTCTTCCCGATATGAAAGATGACTAGTAACAAAGCTTAAATAAGCATTTTTTTTTTTTTGCATCTTTCTGGTTCTGGTTTGCCCAGTTTTGCACATTTGGTAGAAAAAAGATCAATATTTTCTACTTTGCTAGAAAGTAACACTGCATTATGGGATATGCAAACTAGCAAGCCAGAATGAAAGAATGACACTTGTTTTACATTAGATGTGATCAATATTATAATCAAGTTGACTGTTTATTGTGAATGAAGCTCACTTGCACAGATCTAACAATTCACATAAGATTTTAGAAGTTTAATAAGATTGGTGGTTAACAGCAGTGGTGTTTTAGATTGTCCTGCTTTTACACAGAAATGACCTTTAGAATGCAATTTATTTTCTGGAATTCTTTTCTTCATATTTCTTAAAAATAACATGGTACATATATTGTGGGATAGATCTGTTATACTAATCTTTATGTCAGTGATCCCATAAAACATTGCTTGAGATTGATACCAATCCATAAAAAAAAAACACAAAAAATATGTTAATAGTAACTTTGACATAGAATTATTTCAAATTTGGAGATTAGGACTAAGAGAAAAAATATGTCAGATCTCAGATCTAAACATATTATTCTGATAACACTCTTTTTCTTTAGCAATACCTGAAATATTACTCTGGTGATGCCAGATGCTGAGCTGACAATTGAATGATGTACTCTTAGATCTCATTGGAGAAGCCATTAGTCTATTGCAAGGTAATATCCCAGTTACCTCAAAAACTCACAGTGGGATTGATGGAAGACAAAGGTTTCCATTCATCAGCATCTATGTGAAAGTTGGACAAGAGCAAGCGGAAAAGCACCACTCCCTGTCTTCAGGGGGACTTACAATGTACCTGAGAGATGAAATTCAGAGAGAAACAATTCATAAAACAACATAACCAGAAGAATGGTAAAATTGTATTGTATGAAATGTAAGAAATATGAGAAAATATGTAAAAATTCTGCAAAGAAGAAAAAGTATCTGGAGTATGTATCAGTTGCTTTCTTTGAATAGAGATCAGCAACTGCATGAACAAGTGGGTTTCACCACTGACTGCTACCTGAATCCACTTCAGCTCTCTGCACTGAAAACCTAAACCGATTTCCCAGGTACCTGGAATTATGTGTAGTCAAAGAGAAGACCGTATCACAATAGTAAGTTAGCAGACATCAGGTCACAGGTCTTTTGCAAGATTTAATGCACTGGGCTCATGTTTATTCCTGAAGAGGAAATGGTAAAGGGGAAGGAGAATAACATTTTAAAATTATCATGTGTACAGCGAAATAGTTTACAAAGTAATTTTACCACATGGTATCTCATTTATTCCTTACAACAGCACTGTTAATTAATGTTCCCTTACTCCTTTATGTTTAGAATTGTGACTTGACAAAGGTCACTCAGCTAGTAAATGTCCAAATAGGAGCTTGAGTTCTGTGTGGGGGTTTCCAGATCCTGAGTTCTTTACTCACACCACAGCAGTTGAATCTTAACTCCTGACAGGAGATATTCTCCTACCTATAGGGAACGGGCTTAATCTGGCCCAAATTACACATAGAGATTCTAGTTCAGAGTTTACCCCACAGTGGGTATTTAAGTACTCTGAAGTATGCTCTCAATTCCCATAAGCTTTTATTAAAATGAGGGATCATTTCCATTTTTAAGAAAACCTGTGCTCCTGTGACCTTTGTCCTAATCCTATATCCCACATCAACCCAATGAGAAGATTTTTGGAACTCAGGATAGAAATACATGTTCATAGGTAGATAGGCCTTAGCTATAGTTATAGATACGATTCAAGATTTTAGCATCTGTAAAAATCAACTAGAGGACTTTTCAAACTTGTGTTTATCCACGGAACACTTTTAAATTGGAACACTTTTAAATTGCTGGGATACACCCTCAGAGTTTGTGATTAAGTGGTACTAGGAGAGGGTGGGGCCAAGAATTTCCATTTCTAAAAATTTCCTAGGTGATGCTAATGCTGCTGATCCGAGGACTATGTATAGAGGAAGAATGCATAGAAGAAATAGACTTGAAGGATACAAGTGAAAGCAGGCAGAGTAAGTGCAAGCTATTGTAGTAGTGTAAATGAGAGCTAATTAAGTAGGGATGTAAAGACAGAGAGGAGAGAACACATATGGGAAATATTTATGAAGAACATTTATCAGAGCCTAGCAGAAGGCAGCTTAGGAAAAGAAGGGGTCAAAGGTTGCCTGGACAGATGGTGGATTATCCAAAAAGATAGGAAAAAATGGAACAGATTTGGGTAGAAGATAGTGAATTTGTTTTAAACATTTTAAATTTGAGGTAACCATTACACATTTAGATGCCACTGGACTAGCTTATGTAGAGTTTTCACATGTAAAATTTACTCTTGTGGATGAATTTCATTGTGAACAATTTTTGAAAACTGTCAAAAATTATTTAGAACTCAAATGCTATACATGTAGGTTATATAGTTTTACGTAAAAGACAGAAATCAGAGAGTTCTAGGAAGAAACATTTTATTTCATGTAATGACAATGTGCATTTTAGACTAGAATCTGAAATACAATGGTTCTGCTTAGAAATGCATTAGCTAAAAAATTTCAAAAATACTACCATGAGCCTCAATTTCCCCATCACTGAAATGGCTGCAATCATACCCTTAGGACATGTAGAACTAGAGTGAGGACCAAACAAGATGAAAAGCCTAAATATTTTTCCTATAATAAAGATATAACACACATTGGTTCTATTTCACTACAAGGTACTTTAGAGAGCATTATTAACGTTTGTCAAGTGATTTTTTTTTAAGAAGGTGAATCTCTTTTTCAAAAGAAGTCTTATAAAGAACTAAAAACAGATCAAAGCAAAATTTTGTAAATCATCAATATAAGAGCCTTAGATTAAATATAAGAAAACTGGTCCAAAGAGGTAAAGAAAATTTCCCAAGTCATATAATTTGTTAAAGGCAGACCCTGTTCTAGTTCCCGGTTACCAAATGCCCATTTCATATTCTTTCTGAAATGCCATAATATCTGTGGCTCAAATAACAATGACTTGTACTGGTGGCTAGAGTTCCAGTTCCAAAACCTCCTGGTGTCTTAAATGTTTAAGGAACAGCAGCGTTCCTGTCATGTGGTGTCCAAAGTACCATTCTGAAAAACAAGCCTCCTTTCGGTAAGTATGTTTGAATGTATTTAGGAAATAAGATTTATGTGCCCACTTTATATAAATGATGATCATGATGTTCTTTTCATCACTTTGTCTTACAAGCTAGTGCTGGCAAACTTTTCATATCTTAGAGGCTTAGAAGATTGTGTCCTTGAAACTACTGAGTTTCAAACATGTGGTTATCCAGAGAACACTTTTAAATTATATATTCTAGAACTCAGTCCCTGTAGATTCTGAGTCAAGAGATCTGAAGTGGGTCTTTGGGATTAGTTTTTAAAGCTTCCCAGGTGAGGCTGGAGTTTGAGGACCACTGCTCTGTGGTGTGGCCCAGAATCCCTGGAGTTGCCAGTGCTGCTACCCACCCATTTCCTTTCTAGACAACAATTGCTTTGAACATTTAATAACAGCATTGCCCAGATTTTCTCTCCAGAACTAGAACATGTTCTGCCCTATCTGAGTCAGCTTATTCCCATTCATCAAATCTTTTGCTCAAGTAACATCTTAGAGGCAAAAGATGGTGTCAGCTTGGCAGTAACTGCAATAACAATAATATAAAAGCTACCACTTATTGAGCATTCACTATGTGACAGATGAGTTCTTAATGTTTTGCCTGCATTTTATGATGACAGAAGTCTGAACTATAGACTTTTATTTACAACTGCTTATTCAATATTTCAAAAAGAACTCTTGATTACTCCCTTCCCTGATATACATTCCTGTCGCAGGCTTCCTCACCTCCAAGTGCACCTAGCTGTCAACCAGTTGCTCATACCTAGACTGACCAAGGTGTTATTCTTAACTTCCATTTCCCCTGATATCCCATAACCAATCCAGCAGTAAATTCTGTGCCCTCAAACTGTATCCCAATCTAACCACTTTTTACCTGCTCCATCAAGAGTCATTTGATCCAAGTCACTACTATTTCTTGTGTATATTATATTGGTAGCTGGATGACTGAACTTCCTGCTTCGACTTTTGCTTCTTCCCAGGGTTAATGCCTTAGAGATGAAGCAAGAATAATCATATAAAGTGCAAGTCAAATAAGTCATTCATCTGTCCACCTAAAACCTTCAGTTACTTCCTGTGACATTGAGGTTAAAAATCAGTGTCTAACCAAGCATTACCTCAACTTAAACCACTATATTCCTTGTCCTTTTTCACTCTACATCACTACTCCCTCCTATAAAAACCAACCTTTTGCCTATCCCAGGACCTTTGCATTTGCTGTTCCCCCTACATGGATCACTCTTCCCCTACATCTGCCCTGACTCTCTTACTTCACATAGACCTTTGTCTCCAAATATCATTCTCAGTGAAGCCTTCCCTGGCCATTCTCTCTAAAATAACACCCTGTTCTCTTTTTTTATTGCTTCATTTTTCATTGCCTTTATTACTACCATACATTGTACCACATATTAATTTGGTTGGTTGGTTGTTGCCTTTCCCCTCAACTAGAATGTAAGCTGTGTAGGGGAAGGGATTTTGTCCCTGTCTTGTTCATCTTTCTTCCCTAGAACCTGGCACATAGTCAGTGCTTATCAAGTATTGTTGAATGATTGAATGAATGAATGAATGAATGAGTAAATTCTCTTATAGCAAAGACTTTGCTTCTTGCCCCTCCAACCTACATGGAATTCCTGTAAGTTTAGATAACACAAGTTTGATCTCTGTTAATCATCTTATTATCTTGTTTGTCTTTTGTTACTATTTTGTAACATTTATAAAGAGCAGAGCCTTCTTAGGAGAGTCATTAAAATGGTTCACTATTGTCCTCCCATTCTGAGTCATTAAGCTTTTTCTCCTATCTTTGCCTCACTGCTCTCAGATTTAGGTGAAAAGAGGGCCACCAATAGGGCATGCTACATTGGGTCATCAGGGACCCAGTGAAAAGTGGGGCACACTTGACTGATGCACACTTCATTGATCTCCATATGAGAGAGGGAAACAATTTTACATGGGACAATAAAAATGCCCACTCTGGGAACTTCAAGTTAATACTCCTTATTCCTCACTCTAGTAACATATAAATGGATGATTTTCCTCCCTCTTTCATTAGTGGCCTCCTTGCCTACTATGAATTATTTTCTATGGGAAGATTTGCATGTGTTCTGTGTTCACTGATGCCAGAAACACTAGTGCAGCTCTGCCCACTTTTCAGTCATGCTAGGAGCATTTGTTTTATGACACATGAATGCCAACAAGTGTGGTCAAGTGCAAACAGACCCATATGTAGGTTGGGTGGAAGGGCTCCTTGCAGAAAGCTAGCTTTCACTCCAGCACACCCACACAGACCCTTGGAAGCCTGGCAGCTCTGCTGCAGTAGAATAGGCCAGTCTGCCAGTGGGCATCTTGCCATCAGAGCAGATGGTCCCTGGCAGGGGCAGGCAGCAGGGCACACGTGACCATTCTGGCCTTGTGGGTTTTTACCATTTGTGTCTTTAATTTCCAGGAGACAAATTCTTGAATAGAAAAGCAAAGTTTACAAAATAAGACTTAGGAAGGATGAGCTTTCAGTCCTTAATTAAAACATTCAAGCAGAGAAATCAGCCTTTAGTCTCATTTAATAAATCTCATAGATTAACTTGTTAGGGGACCCTCTTTGACCTCAAATAACTCGTCATTGAAGGGGATACTCTGTCTTGCTCCAGCAATTTTTCACTTCAAACATAAAAGATAGCCTAATCTTCAAAAAACCAGAGATGGAAGAGATTGACTTCATACAATGAAATTAATTTCACAACCTATCTGTTATTTGGAATCATTATTAGAATTATTTTCCAAAACAATTTTTGTCTTTAATCTACCATGTCAACAAGGCAAGAACTAAATTTCATTTATTTCCCTGCTAACTTCAGAAGATGTCTATACAGTGATAAGACTTGAATTGCACTAAAAGCAAAACCATTGACAGGTTGAAAGTCAACTCTACTACTATCCATGTCATGTGCCATTTGCCCACATAGAAAACTTGAAGGAGAATAATTATGAGTGCTAAGAAATATACCGATCACCCTACATAACTTATAAGCATTAGAATCATCTAAATAGAAAGAAAAAATACCTCTTAGAACTTGCATATAGTTCATGGGCATATTACAAAAATACTTTACATTTGTCTAGCACCTTCTGCTTCCCTCACAGTTTCACAAATATTATCTCACTTGTGACTTCATTACAACCTTTGTGAGGTAAGGTTATTACCTTGCCTTGATGACTGAGGTACCTAAGGACTGTACTAATAAAATGACTCAAGCTCATACTTCAAAATCACTTGTCTTTGATCATTTTAACTTTAATTTGGGGCTATTACAAAATGAGAAAATATCTAGTGATGGTGTCTGAATTACCACTGTCTTTATGGTCTTGCTTTCTATTTTTAATTTTATTCATGATTTTTGGTGACTGTGTTAGCTCTCAATTCCTCTTAGAAATATTAAAACAATATCACTGCTCTAGAGAATGGGGGGTTGAATCATATGGTGCTTTTGTTGTTTTACAAACTCTAATGGTGACCTTTATGCAAAAGAATAGCATTAAGAACTCTAGTAAATTGCTGTGCTCTGTAGAGTTTTTATATGAAAATATCCTTGTAAAAATATATTAACTTTCATTTTGTAATACCATACCTAACTTTGTGATTTTTTTCCCCCAACTAGAAATACTATGTTATTATTTTGACCTGTTACAAACAACATGCCATAATTACTATTTACATTTACCAGAAAAATGACAGATTTTTTTACTTTTGGGCATGAAACTGATAATGCAATTTTCTGATCTTGAGAACTATTCAAAAATCTTCTGAAAGTCAGTTCTAAAACCCAGAAAACCACTCTCCTCATGAAACTTGGTGGGATATCATCTGACTTCTATTATAAATAGCCTGTTTGAAGAGATAGCACTAAGTTAAATTACAAACTGTTTTCCAAGTAATTGATATCCATTACTGGATTGGACAGACTGGAATGATTTTTTATGGTGGCTGGTGCTCTGGTATGCAAAGATAGCATGACTTTTCTGTTGTCAGTGGCTCACAGAAAAATTATAGTTTTAAAAACTTTGTTGAAACACATAAGGAATATTTTAGAGGTTTACACATTTCCCAGAATCTAAAAGAAAAATATTCCAGGAAGCTGTGACAGACAGACCATTTGTGTCTGCAAGAGGACTAAATTGAATCACTTGTGCAGACAGCCTGGAACTTAAGAGCAAGTCAGTTGGAGGCACACTAGAGTAGTACATAATAGATGAATTATAGAATGAACTGGATGAAAGCAAAATTCTAAAACCCATGAATTCCTTAGTTCTTCCTTAAGGTCATAAAAAGGGGAATAATTAAATTCAGCACATACTCAGGGTGATAATTTATTTAAAGGAATCATACTTGCAGTTAACTTTCTAGTACCTGTGGAAGTAACCATTCTTACCGGTACTGACATAGAGTTCTTTTTTTTGAAGATTTATTTATTTATACAAGCACTGGGTACAGTCAGAAGCGCAGGAGGTTGACAGAATTCACCAGAGTCAGAGCGGGGAGCAGAACAGGCAGACTGACAAATACACTGCTGAGGGGAGTAGCAGGCGCAGCAGGAGAGGTCTGCGCACCATGTGGCACCCTCACCAGGGTCTGGGGATCGAACCGTCGCTGCAGAGGCTGCAGGCAGCTTTGTAGCCCAGCACTCAACCACTGTGCCACGGGGGGAGGCCCCAGGATGGGGTTCTTGGTTGCGCCACCCTCAAAGTCAGCATGAATCCTAAGTAACAACGAGCAAAGTAGGAAGCAGTTTAACTACCCTCCTCCCAAGGCAGCAGGATTTCAAATAGTGCAGGTGGATCCACAGCATTCGCTGCTGGCCCTCAAAACCTGGAAAAATATATTGAGAACAGGCTGAACAGCTCAGGCAGAGCTGCCATACCTCTGAGGCATTTCCTTTCCCACTGCCTTTCTTCTTCCATTCTGCCACCTCTCAACCTCTCACTCCACTTCCTCTCACTTTCTTTCTTTTCTCCAGCTTCAATTCTTCCTTTTGCAACACCTGCCTATTCCTGGAGTTTATCAATAACCCAAGTACATTATTCTGAATATGATTTGTCGTGCTTGAGGGAGTGCTCAGATTTTGGTCCAGAAGTTTTAGAAAAGCATTATCATGTCAGATCAGATATTCTTCTTTGTCCTTCAGACCTTTGTCCTTCAGATTTGAATAGGGAAGCCTATTCAGTGTCATTGTTCCATGGTAGGCAACTCCCTATTCAGAGCAGCTTACTCCTCTGACATGCAGAAATGGAACTGGATATAAATATTCTTCCACCTTTTTATTGATCCATAAAGAGTCAATAGGTTTTAGTGGTAGTCAAAGAGAATGACATAATAATTCCTATGGAATTGTATTTGGATTTAATGAAAACAAAAAAGCAACAGATTCTATAAGCAAGGAAGTTCCAAGAATTGTAAGCTATGTATCTCATTCTCATTCATGCACTGATCCTTCCAGGAATAAGGTTAATACTCTGTCCAACCATAAAGTTGAAGTCACACTCAGATCTCCTTCAGTGTAGCCCAGAGCTCTTTCCTGAATGGTCTTTTGTGTGGTAGGATTAGAATGGCTGGTATATCTTACAACTCAGCATTTCTCTGGAACACTGAGACATGCTCTTTAACAGAATGTTTGCTAGTGGAGTGGTTGGTGATATATGATTAAAAAAAATATATGACCATATATTGTTTTGATTAGAAATCAAAGATCCATTTATTTACATGGGTTTTTGCTGTTAGGGTCATAAGAGATTAGCAAAATTTTGCAAAATGTTGTTTCACACAAAAGAAGTAGGAGACTTAAAGAATAATAGCTGTGATTTAGTGACTTGTCTTTTGTCTTCTTGTGCATGTTTTCCTTATACTGTTTGGGCTATGATTGATTGGCTAAAACAAAACAGAATGACTATGAAACACTACCAGTTACAGTGTCATGGTTAGGAGCAGGGATGCTAGGCCTAAATTACCTGAGCTCAGATCCTTTGAAAATTTTATCTGAGAAAATGGGGAGTGTAATGGTACCTATCTCATATGGTTCTGGTGAGCATATGCATACTATTAATATATGTAAAATACTGAGAATAGTGCCTGGCAAATATTAGGCATTCTGTAAGTATTAATAATTATTATAAGAATTAACCAAAAAAAGAAAACTGCAACATGCCTACATTTATTTATGTTATCATAGAAATATGTATTCAAATAATAGAAATATGTGAAATTATAGTTTTGTGGAACTGTACTTCATAGAATTGATTCAATTCTCTACAAATAATTTCTGACTATCCTCAGCATAAGAAGTTATCCATTCTACTTACTTAGTATACACAAATAGTATATTTGTCCTTTTAAAAAAATGTTTTCTCAATGAGCAGGAGAAATGATTTCTACTGATATGTTTTTTTTTCCTTCTACTTCTTAAATTTAAAGTTATAATACATCATTTTGTAAGTGTGTTTGGTTTCATCTGCAGAGGGGTGCTGGGATGATCTGTTGGTTCCTCAAATAATGAGCAGACACTTAACTCTCAAAAAGAATTTCATGAAAGACTTGGCTTGCTTTTTCCTATTGTTTTTCTTGGACGTACTATTTTTAAGTATTTAACTATTCCCCCCCCCCCCTCAAACCTTGTCGTTTCTGTAATTCCTATCATGCATGTAAACACAAGAGATAGTGTATACATGGAAATGGTATGTGTGTGTGTGTGTGTGTGTGTGTGCGTGTGTATCTATTTGCATGCTGTACTTGGATCTAGCAGGTAAGTTCTTTCTGCACAGGGAGTTCAACAGTAAAACTGATTGAACACAGAACTCAAAACTTTTTTTTTCAAGCAATTCTTCCCATAAGCCAAGGAGAATTGTCTACTCATCAAGAAATAAACTCTTATCTTCCTTTAGTCCCATACAAAAGGGTATTTTTAGTGGTTACCAGATGCCTCCAACATTTAATAAAGAATAGCATTTTTATAGTAGACATTATAGATATGGACAGGAACCTCTGTGAAACAAGACAATGTCTCATTTTGTTTTTATTCAAGGCCTCATGCTTCTTTCAAAAAAAAAGGTGAAATAATTTGTGTGGCAAAACAAATCTATATTTGGAGTGAAGGCATATTGTTACTAGTTTAATTTCTCCAGTTCTGTGACTTGCACATTTGATCTATCATTTTTTAAAGTTATTTTTATTCTACAGAACAAAAGTAAAAGCCTGGAAAAGTAATTCTGTAGAGTCAAGTGCCTAGTCCAAGGTCAGAGAAAATTATTGGTGAGACAGAGATTAGAATGCCCAATTTTCCATTATTAAACTGTTATTTAGACCACTGAGCTACAATAAATGAGTGCAGATACTGCAGTAAAACAAAATTCCAGGTTTTGCTTGAGCTTTTGTCAAGCTCAACAAAGTCACCAATATGGAGAACTTCTCTGTGAAGTCCTTCTTGAAGTTATTTAGCCCCCTGTTGTCCATTGAAAGTGCTTTTATGCCCAGCCTTCAGCAGAGAATTTGCAAGATATTGTTTTCTCTTTTTGGAACATGCAGAAATGTTAATATACCTACAACTGTGATTGATTATTTAATTATATTTTATTCCTCATTTAATGAGTCAATTTCCATGTTTCTGTCTTTAAAAAAAATCTATTTCTAATATATGGTTGCTGTGAAAACTTGCCCTTGAAACCAGGATTTCCTGGATGATTCTAATATATTGGACAAGTCCTTGAAAGTAGACAATGGACTGAGATTAAGGAACTTCTGCCAAACCTATTAGAATAGATTGTCAGTGTTATTTGAAACTAAAGCAGAGCACTAACTCATAGCTTGGAGTTTGTTTCATTAAAAATTCTAGAATTGCCAATCCAGTAGATAGTACTTAACTCCAAACTGGAAAACTCATTCAGCAAGATGTTGCTACAGAGCAGAACATGGGAGTTACAGTAAAAAGAAAATCCATAAAGATAGTGTCCTATTAGTTTCACTGTCAGGAATCCAAATATATTCATGTATTTTTCTCATTTAAATAAAATTAAATAAATGATGATTTATACTATAGGTAACTGAGAAACTTTAAAATTGAATTTTCTAAAAGAAAAC